CAGAGAGGTTAGGGCCTTGAAAGCTGAGAAAAACTGTTCTGCTGTCCAGTGCCATGGGAACGAACGCTGTAGTTTGATATACATAGAACGCTCGAGGCGTTATCAGCATGTACTTGCAAGAAGTTATTCTGTCTACAGTCCGTATAAAGGTTTGTGGCATAATACATTTGTTAGGCTACACACAGTAGCTGTTTTTATATAAATTATGATAAGCCATGTGCACAGCAAACTTCTAACGTTCAAGCTCTATCAAATATGTTTGTTCTGACATCAGATGATGTAGAATAGTTGGCTAGAAACTATTTTCCTTGCCCTTCTACTAAAATTGCTTCAAGCGTTTTGGTGCACCTTTAGGACCCTACACGTGTCTGGGGAGTTGTAGAATTAACAGTTACAACTTAACAGCTGAATCGGCACAGCACATACTGCAACAAAGCACATAGTTTTTATGAAACTTGTTATCCAGCATGGCGGGTACTTATATTTTCAAATAATAATTTCAAGGGACACCAGAATCCAGGAATTTTTCTGAAATTTTCCGCAATATTTCTTTACGGGGAGATCTAACTGCGTGCAACAGCACGCAGCGCAAAAGTCACTTCAGCAGCGGGCAGCCAAACTGACAATTCAAGGTTTATTTGTTGACGCATTTCCCAAGGATTTCAGTGCCATGACAAGTTGGTTGCTCGATGCCCTTGTTACAATGGCAGAATATTAACACAAACAGTTTGGGGCTTTTTGTTTGTTGTGGTTTTGCTGGGTTTTTTAACATCTTTATGTTAAAATCTATCTATTAAATTTTCTTCTTACCTCCACCAGAATCCTGGATTTGACTTCAGTGGGGCAGAAATTTCTGGAAATTACAGCAAAGGAGGACCAGACTTTTCTAGTCTTGAGAAGTAAACTGTTTTCATCTGTCTTCCCTGAGAGGAATTGCACATTACACTTAAGGACTGGGATCAAGTAACTGGGGAACAGATTCCAGTGATCTCTTCAATGGATTGTTGTCAAGTAATTGCTTCAGTGAAGAGAAAGAAGATCTCTTCTAGTAGAATTAAGACAAAGTGTTACCGGCTGATTTATAAGCCGTGATAACTTTCTAATACTAAGGGACAAACTATAGAGAAAGGTGTGTACAAAAAATTAACATTTTTAAGCAGAATGTTGGTCTTGGGTTGGGTGGTTTTTTTGGTTTTTTAGAAATGCCATGGTAAAGTAGTCGGTTATAAATATACCACTTGTCTTTATGCAACAATATTTCACCATTGAAGAATAGATATTACAAGCAAGATAATAAATATTTTCTCAACTTGCAACAAGAAAGATATTAGGATGGCTACAGTTACCCTTTCCCTCTGTAGCAGCCCTCTGAGAGCTCATAAATACCATTACAAAAAAGTGATTTAAAGAAACTACTTCATCTCTCCTCAAATAAGGTTTTGCAATCCACTGTGATGTCAAATACAGCACTAATAATTAATACTTGGTACCAGGTAAGCGATACTAGAAAACTGAAAGGTCAGGTGAAGGTCTAGATATAATTAATTTTATATGTTAGTGTAGTATAGCCTTTCAGTATAAATATTTAAGAAGGTATAAGATCTTGAAAGTGAGAGAACATAACGACTTTTGAAAGGAAGCCCTGCAGTAGGAGATTCTATCTTGCATGTGTTTATTGCCAACTTAAAGCACAAATTGTTGATAACTTTTTTTTTAGAGACAATTTTAAACTTAGACACATTTTAAACTTAGCTGTTGTGTGATATCCTATTTTGCACGTGCCAGTTGGGTACCAGGAATTTTCTACTCATTGCTGAGGCTGCTAGGTGAGCAGCACTCTAACCACAGCAATATACAGGATGAAGGCTGTCAAACACACCAACAGGAGAAGAAAATGTGATTGCCAAAGCCTGTTTTATTCTGACTGCTCGTCCTTGAGTCCTAAGCAGAAATCTGGCTGGAGATAAATTGCCAGCAGCTGTCCACCGTGCTGCTGAGCCGCGTTTCTAAACCTGCATCATTATTTCAGCTGGCATATGGCAAAAATAAAGCAATACTTGAGGAAAGCTGTCTTTATTCTAATTATACCCCTTGGTTTCTTGTTTTACGAGCAAGCAGTAATACTGAAATGCCAAGTGTGCTCCTTGTACCTGTGTCATCTTTACAAAACGTGAACTAAGTCCACAGGTGGTGCTTGCGTTTTAGAGGACTTGCCTTGCTACACAAAGGAAAGTAGCGTGGTATCAAACAGAGTTATGGCTATCATGTTTGGTATCTTCCCCAAGATCCTAGGATAGAGGGTGGGTGACATAGTTAAGAAACGAAGGAGACCTCTGCCAAAGTGACTGAAGTCAGAGGAAGGATAGCGAACAGTTAACCTTGCATCACAGTGCTTGAGTACCATCAGTGAAAAGGCATTTTTTGCTAACAGCAGGTGGTTTTCACGGGATGGTTTTGTGTGTCTTGCTTAGAGCAAAAGTGTAGAATGTCATCTGACACTTCAGTGTATGAACGTACATTTACTATATGCACTTCCAAAGCTAAACTTTATTCTCATATTTTCTGCTTTATCAAGTCGGATGAGAGTCATTCTACAGCTCAGTCCGAGGCTGATGTCGAGGAAAGAGGACAACTCTGAAGTATGTATTCAGGCACCGCGGCTCTAAATTCTTTTTAAGAGGAAAAGTTTAAACCGCTCGGTTAGCTACTTCTATCATCTACTGTAAGTCACATACCTCACATTTTGGAATAATCTAGATGAAAATAAAAATATATTAATGCTATGACTTTAATATCTACTCCATTTTCAGTTTATACTTTAACAGATGGTGGTTTGTATTCCATCTCACAGCAGTCCCACTGGGATTCAGTCCTTTGCCTCTTAAACAATAACATGTATTTGCCAGGTGCATACACCTGGGTATGTGACACAGTATCCAGAGCAACCCAGTCTGTATGAAGTAATCCTGTGCACTCATTCAGTGCTACACTGCTATGTAAATGAGTGAAGTCTACTGACATATTTTTCATGCGTTTAGTTCAAGATCAGCTCAGAGCAGTGCCACAGCATTGCTCTTTATCAAAAGCACCACAGCTGCTCTGACTCAGTTAGGCACGAAAATGTAGAGCTAAACTCATGCCTAGTCAACCCGCAATGCTCCAGTGCAGCAACTCAAATCTTGGGATTAGAAATCTGAATGCCAGATTCTCAGAAGCGAACTCCATCCATGTATTTACTGCAACTTATAGGAACGGGTGATAGGTTCTATTAGCTAAATAATGGGAGGGACTAAAGTCAAATTTGAACAGCCTAAGCTACTTAAGTCTCTTCAATATTGACACTTTCAGATTTCAAGATTTAGAGTAATAATGGGCCAAGTTGAAATCATTTTAATTTATCACCTTGAGCTGTTCCTCTTGGTCCTCTAGCCTTTCCCATGCAGCCTCAACCTCTCAACAAAAGAAAAAAATCTCCATATCTTACCTCCTGCCTGAAAGTTTTCCAGGTACTGTTAAGATATGAGTCACTTTACAGGCTTCCTAATAAGATGTTTTATAAGAAATGGGAAAAAAGTTGTTCAGTCAAGCACATTTCAAGGTTTAATTGAAAGGTACATATCTTTATATTGAGACATGACAATTAGAATTGCACATTGCATCTTCTCCATCTCTCCCAGCAGGCTGACCACACCTTCGCCCAAATCCCTTGGATGGTTTATGCAGACATTATACAATGCACAGAGAGCACTGGCAGATGCAAAACCCAATTATGTGTTATGTGGTGCAGTCACGCCCGTGAGTTCATGAGAAGCCTCGATTTGTCCAGTACAGAGCTTTGGTATGAAGTCCTCTGTGTAAGGTTTAACTAGTTTGAGATACGCAAAGAATGGTTTCCCCCACAGTTCCTCCTGTACAGGGAAGGGGTTGGGTGGGTAACATCTGAGCCCACGCTGTGTATCCAGAACATTCTGATCTCCTCTTCTCTGCTGTGTCAGTTCCTGTGGCCGTTGGTTACGAACAGCCCGTGGCTAACAGCCCCTGCTCCACAGTGACACAGAATTCAAGAGCTCCGTAGCAACATTCTCCTAACACCTCTATTCATCTTAATACATTCTTATTCTTCACCTCCTCGTTAGCACTACAAGCATGATATGCCTCAAGTACCCATCTGGTCTTGAGAAAAAACAGCTGGGTTTTATGAAGCTTACTATTAAAGAGATCAGAGTTGAAGCAATCTTTAATGTTTCTCAGCTAGATTGCTCTTACGTAACAGGCCAAGATGGGGCATTAGCCCTGCTCCTACTGTGCCTGTAAAAATGCACCTGCTCAGCATCAGCATTTACCTCTTGCACAGTGAAACTTCGGAAAACTGGTATCAGACTCGGGGCAGGCGACCCAGTATCTTCCCTCTGTCTTCCTTAAGTATCATGAGGTTGTTACGCTACGAAATTATTTGTAATTTCTGTAAACTACGCCTCTTACAAAATCCTGAAGGTACTGTGTTACAGTGACTACCTTTTCTTAGGCAACGAAATAAGGTTTCTCTTTCCTTCTGCTCTAGCTACCTGATGTGTTCAGTGGGTGTCCCACAGCCTAGTTTTTAGTGTGTGTGTGGTAGAAGGCCAGTGCCCTGCCCAGCAGGAACATGCGAACACACGACACTGCCCTGACAGCACATCAGGTGGACTGACAGCATTTGCTGTTGTCAGTAATACCGAGCAGGATTAATCTTCAGCTTGATTGAGACACTGCCGCAACATGCTGCTGCACATGGTGTTTTCCTAGTGCCACATTAACTTTGGAAAGTCAACTAGATTTTTGAAATTGTATATTTAATTCAGCACCTGCAGTTACAGTAAACCAAGGTTAGTCTATACAAGCTGCTCTACAAACTAGTAGGTGTTAAAATTCCTTGTATGGGTAGCGTGGTATTTCACTGATCAGTAAACAGTCTAACAAATAAGACTGAAAACTATTGCAATCACCAGGAAAAGAACCTATTTGCTGGAAGGATCTTTAGTCTGAAATGTTACATATTCTTTCCATGAGTTGAGCTCTTCGTTTATTAAGATCATGTTTCAGATATTCACGTGCCTGTTGACAAGGTCACATAAGATGGTTCTCTCCTCATTTTAATGTAATCCTGTAAAAAAATAAATCAAAAAACAAAGCAAGCCAGTCAACTGAAGGGCCTCCTACAAGAGCCACATAAAGCAACAGACTTAATTATAGCAAGACCACAGCAGGACAGCTGTTACGGAAAATATGTAGCCTTTAGAATGAATGTCTAGATAAGGAAGCAGTTCACAATTTCTACAGAGTAAAAAAAAAAGTAACGTAACTGAATTATAGTTTTTATTTATATAAGTTATTAAAAAGTTATGTATCGTTTTTTAATAGTTATTATAAAGTTATTTATATATTTATATTTATAGTTATTAAACAATCAGCTACACAAGTAAAACCATATAAAGACATCTCCTGTTTAAGTGGTTTACATGAGTGCTTACAAAAAACACATTCTAATAGGCAATTGTGTCCTCTTAGCCGATTCTTTTTAAGACGGGAGCAAGCCAAGTTTTTCCTCTGCCTTTTTACCAGTTTACTCCACATTAGTTTGAATGAGGTCCCAATGTCTGTAGAACACAGATCTGCTCCCACGGCACACCAGAGGATCAGTTCTTTCTCCAGCACTCGTGTATTAGGTTGCCACTTCTTTAGGTACAGCACCGGCTCAAGCATGAACACGAGAACAGAGCAGCCCCTCCGACAGGCCTACTGCGTTTATGTTACATGGCTTTCAAGAGGTTACCTCTCCAAAGTAAGGAACTTTGAGGTAGCTAGTTAGTTCTACCTTATCAGAAGTTGATTTTACAAGGAGTTACCTCTTACGGGCTGGTCTCTGGAATTGTAGGAAGGTGTGTTATTCTGTAGTAGCTATGTTTAAGCTGCCTTGCTGTACGTCGAGACACAATCCATTTTAATTTCTGGACATTTGGTTTGGAACACTTGCTCGAGGAATATTCTGTAAGGCACTTCAACACCAGTTCTTTCCAGAAGGTCAAATCTCTGTTGTTTATCTAAACAGCAAGACAGAATCTCATATAACTCATTAAATCCTTAGTTCATACCTGTACTTTCAGCTTCTTCACCTAAGATAGGAAGCCAAAGACCACAAGCCAAATGGACAAAACCCCCAAGAAAGCCACAAAAGAAAACAGTAAGCCAATGGACCCTTCCATTTCCCCACCGGGAAAAGCTTCTTGCATGCATTCGTCTTCCTTTCTCCCCTGAAACTTTATACATACATACCTTGGAATGCAACTGCAGAAATTCCAATGCCTCTGCCAACTCCAGCAGTTTTTGTTCTTCTATCTCCAGTGCCATAATAGACAGTGCCAGGACAGAAGGCTGGAGAGAGAGAAAATGTGTTTAAACGCGGCTTTGTTGAAGTTTCAGTAGTCTCGTCATCTCTGAGCTCTCAAGATACTCACCTTGGCTTTAGAAAACATGACTCTGCAGTGACATGCCTTAAGCTGGGTCTCAAGTCTCTCAAAATTAAGGCATTTTCTCCTGTAACAAAAATAGGTGAGTGAATGTAGAAGGCGGCAAGGTTCATCAAGCCAGCACCACACCGAGAACTCAGAGAAGCAGCAAGAATGCTCATTATCTAAACAAAGGCCTCATTTGTCCCAGAAGTTCTAGGGTTACAGTCAAACAGGTGTTCAGTTTTGGCAGTCCTAATGCCAAAAATAAATCTCACGTTACTTTGGGGAGAGTTGCATTGTCAAAATCACTTACCAGAAAGGAATTTTTATGCTTACTAGCAAAAGGAATCTCTTTCTAAGCCAGATTTTGAAATCTTTCCAGTGAGGCAACGCTTAGTGCAGCATAAGCAGAGATTTATTGTACCACCATTATTGAGTAAGTTTAGGGTTTGGCTCAGGAAGCAATACTCTTTAGATCAATTTATACAAGCAGCATTTAAAATTAAAGAAACACTAAACCACAGATAGTCACGCTTAATATATTTACGAATAAGGGACAAAGTTTGTGGGGTTTGTAAGTATAGAAAGACCAATCACTTTGGTTATTGTCCTGCTTCCTTTTCCACACAGACTTCCTGATCACATGCAGTCATAGCAAAATAAGTGTTAGATATTTTACCTTTCAGAGCTTAAATTCTCATGAATAAGTGAATGATACAGTTGTAGAAATTGGAAGGCTGTTGTAGCTTTGACTTTGCAGCACAGCTTCTCCAATATGATTTTCTCCATTCTCATCATATCAGAAACAGTGAACCTGTACTGGCTTATTCGAATTAAGTCAGTGGCTAAGGGAACATTTCTCTCTTCTTCTGATGCCTTCACAGCCAGATAGAAGCAGCTGAGTCCAACACAGCCCAAGTGTTTAGGCTGTACCTAAAGAAAAATAAATTTTTGCTTTCAAAGAGGAAGGCCTTTGATCAGCCATTTCAACATGTAAGTAGCAAAGTATGCAGACACCAATGCATTTCAGGAAAAAAACACAAGAGGGGCAACAGGGGAGCTGTTCTTTTTGTGAAGATCAAGAAATATGTCTTTTATCTACTTACATTCTTATCTTTATTTAACTAAGTAAGGAGACCGTTACACGCTACAAGTTCTGCCACATTCATCTAAAAAGTGAGATACAAACTGATGTGTTTTAGTCCATAGGCACTGCAGTCCCCATTTTTACCGCTTATTTTGGACTCAGGAGTCTTTCAAATCATCATTTTCCTATCCACTCCATCTCGCTTTCTCATTTTTGTTTTAACACACAAAGAAAACAAGCTTTTGTTCTTGACCAAATAGTACAGTGGTAATCCTGTCTCGTTAGACAATTAAAAACAACCCAGGTCAGCATGCCACATATGCATGGTAGAATGGAGAGCTAACTAAATGTTTTACCAGATTCCAAGTGCTGAACAGCATCAAGCCTCTTGATACACTTATGGGTACGTTAAAACAGCAGTAAAATATGACTTTGACTTACAAGGTGTCCTCGTATACATACAACAGGCAAGACAATCTGTCTTAATCTAACCCATGACTACGGCCGGCATTTCCAAACCTATGGGCATCCTCAAGTTGAAACTGGTGCCCTCTTCCTTCTGTTTTCCAGAGAAAATAGCTTTCAAATCTGAACAGGCAAAACCATTTTTTAGCTCCTGTGTGATCCGACTCTCTGGAAGGAGCTTAACCTCTCGCCATCTAAACCAAAGATACTCATAACAGGAACAAGGCTGCAATAAGCAGAAGCTCATTACTGAGAGCTTATACTTGCACAAGCTTTACCTTCATTTTTGACAAGAATCTATCCAAGAAATTCACAGCAAGTGAGAACGTCTCCGTATGGAAGCCAAAGAACTGAGTTAAGCTGAGGAGATCTTTCACTTCAAAGTCTCGCAGCCTGGCAGTCATTCGGAGCCCATTATCGTGAGCAGATTCAAGGAGTCTCAGCCCAGAGGCCTTTGGCTGACATCTCAGCTCCTGCTCCAGCAGGGCTGTGAGCTGCTGCAGCAGCTCCTGAGCGTCCGTGGCTACAAGTGTTTCGATCATCTGCAACGAGAAACCCAGGCACGTTACCGGGCACCTGGCAAGTGCCAGCACCCGGCTGGGTACAGACGGCTCTGAGGGCACAGATGGAAGCCTCCCTTGCTTTCTCTGCAGGTACGCGAACTCCTCCTCTGTCAGCCGAAGCACTTTTGCCACCGAGCAGCGTGTGAGAG